ACACACACACACACACTCACTTTGACGGGGAGACCACTTCAAAGCAGAATCGTCTCTCATTTTCAGCGCTGGGCTTGACTGTGCAAAGACGCAAGTCCTCCACCACAACTGTAGGCTGGTCCTGAAAGAGCGCACACAGGAAAAACATGCAGGTCAGACTGTGCATGTTGTTATGCACAATTGTGTGTTTTCATAGAGGTCTGTGTTCTATGTTTGGCTGTTCAAACCGTTTAAAAAGGTTATTATTAAAAGATCATTTATTTAAAAATATACCTTGAATTTCTTCTGATAGACCAGCTGATTTTTTTGAATTGAAAACCAACGCCTGGAGTGGAGAGAGAGAGAATATGAAAAGGTCATAAAATAAAAGATTAAGCCTTCAGAATCCTTGTTGCACCAGCCAAGAAAGAAAAGACAAACAGTGGACACTCAGAGCACAAAGTTTAGAAACTATTTTCCAATGCAGTGGACATTTGAGTCCTTTTAGAGAGCAGTATGGTGGGAGAAAAGTATAAAAACAAAGCAGCTGTTCTGTGTGAGATATTTGGTGGGTAAACTTGTACCTGCTCCAGGTCTTGAAGGCGTTGCTGGCTCTCTTGTAGAGATATCCCTCCATGGCGATCCCGTTAGCTGCGTCAGCATTGAAATCCATGATGGAGTCATCGTAGGACACGTCCTGGAAATATAAAAGAAGTCACTCAGTGTCACTGAGCAGGGATTGTATCATTGTGTATCTGCTTAAAGGACCTATTCCAGTATTTTCTTTTAAATTGTGGTTTAAAAAATTCATTATCTTTATAGAAGTGTGTTCATTTTTGTAAACGTGTTACCTTTTTCTTGATTGCAGCGTGTCTTTGCTCCATGTCCCTCTTCTCCCGGGCGGAGTTTAGGACAAACTGAGTGTGCTATAAAAACAGTAATAAGACAAAGAGGTCATTTTCCAGACACAAATATCGATTTTTAAATGATGTATATTATTCTCTTTCTTATAATAACTCGCATAATGCATTTAACTCAATTAAGCTTTCTTCAGGACGCCAACATCAATAGTTTTAAAGTGCTTTTATGTACAATCTATTGAGCTTTCGGATACATTAATCGATTTGCAGTTTTACACAGCTGAAACAGGAAGTGATTAAGTGCTTTGCACAATGACACGTCAGCAGGCTAATTACCAACATTAAGGCTTAAAACCCAGTCCATACATAGCTAGTATGTACTTTTATAATAATCAGTCCTTAACTATAGTAAAACTAAGTAAATTATACTGGAACAATGTGAATTTAAAAGCATTTGGAGAGACAAAGAAAAGGGTAAAGAGTTTTAGAAATAAGAGAATATCATTGAAAGGTTTAACTTCTCTAAAGATTATTGTTCTAAAAACCGATAAAAATACACAGACTCTGGTTTATGTCTTTTCTATTTGTAAATCTATTTAGTTGTTGTCTTTTTTTGTCTATTCCCTGTACTGATGGAGAACTTTCCCCTTTTTCCTTTCCTCTCTAACATGTTTGCTTCTGTGAGAAAGACAGCAATGGAAGAGTTCAGGGTAGGTTATCACTCTTTGCTCTTCAGGAAACAGGAATTAGGAAGAGTCGAACCTCTTCCTACATCCTGTGCCAATCTGAGGAACAACACTGGTAGTTTTCTCTCTCGTAGGGAGTCTGTTTTGTGCGTTATTCCTCAGTGTCTCTCTCTCTCCTCTCCTTATTCTCATTCCTATCATTTCCTGTTGAAACAGCAAGCGCTTTGTTGTGGTTTGTTCTGGCCTGTGAGTGCTGACAAATTAATTTCCTGCTTTAAATTCTTTACATTTAGTACAAACACTCAACAATAATACTGCTGATGTTCAAGGCTGATGGTGCAAAAAGTCTGGACAGTCAAAGAGCAGGAACTAACACACACACACACACACACACACACATAAGCACGCACTCAGCCATGTGAAATATTTCCTGTTGTTGCTCACTTTTTCCTGTCACGATGAAAGTCTGATGTCATCTCATTACTCCTCGGCCCTGCCCCCCCCCAGCCGCCACGTTAGGAAGATGTCAAGAACATGTCTGATGCAATTTACCCAAACAGCATTTTGGGTATTAAAGTTACAATATGGTTTATTGTACACAAACATGTTTTTGTTTAAATTTTAACAGGTCTTACCAACATCTTCAATGTCTCTAAGCCTAAATAAACATTCTGATTTGATTCCCCTAATGTTTGAAACCTGCCTTGTGGACATCTTCTCTTTAACTGGCCCACTCTCTCAACCACTAAATTGTCAAAATCCATTACGCAGAGCCGTGATTCCCACGATTTTTGCTTACGTCCTCTCAAAATCTCTCAAAAAAATGTAAATAACAGAACAGAATATAGGCTGGATGAGGCAACAATCTGACATTTCTTAATAAAAAAGGCAAAGTTTAGAGAAAGTTTCAAGCAAAAAACACACAAAAATGCTAAATTCTGTGTAGCACAACTTGGCTTTTTCTTCCTTTCAGTCCCATCATCTCTCCTCTGCATCCTTGTATGACGTTGAGCAGAAGATACAGACAATACAGAGACCTGCTCATCAAACAGTTGCTCAGAAGTAGTCAAAACCCCCCACAGGCTCTGAGGAATACTAATATAATATGGTCAAAAGCTCCAGAACAGCTTCTAAAGGAACATTGTAGTCTGATTGTTTTGTCCACTGCAGCTTCAAAAGGTCAGGGCCTCATTTTCAGTCTCAACTCTTCAGCCAGCACGGACAAGAATTCTTTTAGAAATTTAAATACACTCATACCAGTGGAGCTGGAGGTTACTGCTGCAGTGCTCTACAGAGTGTCTTGAATCGGTTGGTCCTTGAACAGTTACTCTCTTTAGGTTTGAGAACAGCTCGCTTAAACAAACTCAGCCGTTTAAATATAGTCTTTGTTTCACATTAGGAGCTGGACATCTTGACCTTTGAGCCATTTTCTTTCAAATGTCCACCTCTCGTTGCTCAGTGCTGACTAATACATATCTCTGCAGCTGCCTTTCACAAACAGTAATTAATCCATATTTCTTTGACACGGGGGTTTTAAGTTCATATAAATCTCAATGGCCACATGGAAGTCCCTTGGCAAGCAGTTTAACAAATTATCCACGGTTAATCGATGATCGATGTCAATCTTATGTCTGTGCATTAAGTAATGACGTTAGAAGGCCGGGAGTCAATTAGGGGAAACAGCTAGCCTGGATGTCCAAAGCACTTCTAAATCTTAATAATTAGTAATAGGTATATTTTCAAACTTTAAACTGGGATTAGCGGTTTGTTCCTGCTTCTCGTCTTTTTGCTAAGCTAAGCTAATCAACTCCGACAGTAGTTCTAGCTCCATGATTAGCGTACAGACTTGAGTGTTATCGAGCTTCTTATTTAATGTTCCAATTCTCAAAAACTCTCGAAAGAAAGCAAATAAGTGTATTTCGCAAATGTCAAACTGCTTCTTTGATTTGGCTAACAGTGCATTTTTATGCTGCTGTTTTTTATTTAACATTTAATAATTTATAGGTAATATCAGCTTATAGCAAAGAATAGTATCTGGATAGTTTTCTACTGTTGTTACCAAACGATAAGTTAACTTAGACACACATTTCTAGTGATGACAAAAACTCCATAAAACCAAATTCTGACTATTAACTTTTTTTGACTCTAACCAACACAAGACTTTGTGTGTCTCTTTTCCAGCACAGCTGTTATTTATTTAGTAAGTACCTGTACAGAGTCAGGTCTGTCATCGAATGCCATGTTGGCACCTAGATTTGCGGTGCAGATACAATTATAGCAAAGGAAATTAGATCAGTTGAGCTCTAACAAGCAATTACCTCTTCATTCAGTTTTCGTCGATACTCATCCAGTTCTGACAGAGACTGGTGACCTTGTTGGAAGAACTGGGCCTGGGCCTCCATCAGCGACAATATCTGACAGGAAGCGTGAGAAATGATTTACAAAAAATCTTACATTCAACTGTTTATAACAAGATATTGTGAGCAGCAAGTATGCAGCAAAAAATAAAAAAATAAAAAAAATAATAATAATTTTAAAATTATATATATATATATATATAATTTTTTTACACACACACACACACACACACACACACACACACATTTGAAATATGCAGACAACACAAATTTACAAAAGCAACTAAATGAACTTAAAATAGGTCAACATGAACTCACTGCCATCAAAATGTCTGTCTTCTTCTTGGCCTCAATGACATTAATCTGAAACAAAAGGAAGCAGTGGTTAGAGACAGTGTTCATGTTTCCATAACCATAAAAACTCACTGGGTAGTTAAACCTCTGGAAGCCACAACCACAACCCTGGAGAGAAGCCCCGAGGCAAAACCTGTTATCATTCAAAACAGCAAAAGCACAACTATAATCAGACGTGCTGTTGTATATTTTATCCAGGCTGTTTTAAGTACCTGGGTGCACTGGTTATGTGACTAACTCTGAGGTAAAGTGGACTTTGCATACATTTGTTTTTAAGCACACAGAAGTGCGGGACAATGAATCAATAAAGTCTAGTTTACATGCAGTCACAGTCTTTCACTGATGAGTAATAATGAATAGTCAGGAACATAAAAGCAATAAAATATACAAATAAATACAATTAGAATATTAAATAGAATTACCGATAAAAATAATGACAGCAGCAGTTAAAGCCGAAAAATAGAAGATAAGATTAAGATCAATGAGCTAAATAAAGTGCAGTTCCTGCTGCAGGTGTGACAGTCTCTATTACATTCAGTAACCACAGGAATAAAAAGACAGTCTTCAGCAACTCTTTTATTCCTGTATTAAAAAAGTGGTGGAAATCGAGCTTTCTTTCTCACCTCCAGGACGTAATCCAGGGCCTCAGACCGAAAGGCCTTCCGTGCGTTGAGTAGAGCGTTGCTCGCCTCCTCCACTTCGTGTTGTTTCCCCCGTGGGGCCTGAGCGTTCCTCGCCTGCGCCCCCTCCAGACATTCGCTGCTGCGCTCAAACTCCTTGCGCACATCCTTGAACCGACGCACATCCCTGGAAGACGGGAAGGAAGGAGGAAAATTTGGCCTGATTGTCGTGCTTAGTGACGTTAGGTTTGGTAAGATAGGGAGTTAGCTTAACAAGCTATTTTAAATGAAAATTACAGGTTGTTTTTGAAGGTTTGGTCACATTTTCTAGATTATTTACCTGCAGATTTATATCATTTACTTGTAAGGGCTCATTGCTTCTTTGAATAGGAGCACCATGCAATACATTTTCAACTTTATTGTTTCAGTTTTGCATAAACATTATGTAGGATTTTAATAGACTCTTCTCATTATATTTCTTTCTTTCACGTTACATTATATTATACTGCACCATAGTATATTAGCACTGTCATGTATTATTCAAGTGTTTTTAGTGTGGTATTACATTCGATAAAGCTTACTAGAAGAGTATCAGCTTTCATGCACTCCTGTTTGCCATTTGATAACAGACTCAGCTCAGAGGGTTAAACCACATTCAAAATATCTAAAAATCCAGCTAATCGCTATTGTCACATGCTCCGAGACATCCCCTCTCTCATCTAATCCCCCGTATCATTGGCCACTAATAAGAGCAGACTGCAAGACGAGGAGTACGAGGAGAAGGAAAATGAAGAATCATAAGCCTCTAATATTTTTTTCATGCGCTAATGCTTGGCAGACATTCAGGGGAATGACTCAGTCTGAAGAAGGTGGCCGAGTGTATGAATTATACTAATGCTGGTGGGGGGAGAGAGAGGCACTCAAAAACAAGAAGATTAGATGAAACAAACAAGCGGCTCACTCACTCTTTGACAAAGGTCTGCAGCTTCGTCTTGACTGACTTCTGCGTGGTCTCAATCACTTCCTAAAGGCAAAAAGGTGACAGAGACAGATCTATTACTGTGAGCACAGATAAGTGTTAAATGTCAAACAGTGTGCTGCAGCCTCGTTTGACCACAGACTGCAGACACAGTAGTGCAAAGACAGTGAGTCAAAGGCCTGGACAGACAGACAGACAGACAGACAGACTCACCCCCTGTGCATCCAAGATGACAGACAGCTTTTTGGAAAATTTGTCCAAACACTCCTGCAAGACAGACATCTTAAATTAGACTCTGCATTTCATCATATTTTAACAGCAATATAAGTTATTTATCTTTATATTTAACACCTTGTTTCATAATTAGTGCAGAATTTGACAGTTTAATGAATCAAAACAACCTTCCAGACATACTTGAAGGTTATAAACAAACACTTCCTTTGAATAAATGTGAGTGGAAAATGACATGAGAGGTGTATAAATAACTCCTATGTGCTCCTTTCACCTCCATCATCTTGTCCCCGGAGCAGTGGTGTCCCAGCTCCCGGAGGCCGTTGACGAAGCTCTTGCTGCTCTGGCAGTAGGCCCTGCCCGCCTCCAGCATGGCCTGGCATTGTTTCACGAGCTGGACAACACAAACATGCAACATCACGGTCAAATTCCTCCCGAACGCTCAAACGAGAGACACTTGAGGTTGAGCTAACAAGCCGGTGGTAATCAGTATGAATAATTCGACGTAATGAGGAGTTATTCCAGGAGTCCACACATTAGGACAATGAAACAGAGTTAGAGGTTATAATAATTGGGCGTAATCACTGTGCATGGTGAGTATATCCTAAAGCTTCTGTTAAACACTGTCTGGAGTTCATTAGAGCCAGAACATTACAGGATGGTACTGGGCTGGATTTCATTGCACAGAGTTTCAGGTGTTTTTTTCCATTTAGTAACAAAGACCGACAGTTACGTACATTACATTTTGAACAGTAACACTTTCAGTAAAACTACATTTGCTCTGGAGACCATTAATTGATTGCTTCTGAACAAGCTGTAAACATCAACATAGCCCTCCCAGTTGTTAGCGTGTTAGCTAACAGTTGACTATTTACACATCCAGCAGGCATGAAGCAACATTAGCAATTATCTAGAGTCTTATTTCTGGGACGTTTTTAAAGATCTTTGTTGAAATGGGCTTTAAAACTGCGCTTGTATGTACTTTTAAAAGAAGAATTAACACATTCTTTTGACTTCTTCTTTTCAAACACGCTTATTTGATTCAGTACATAGCCTACGGTGGTTTTGCAGTTTCGGCCTCACCTACTCTGGTATAGCCATTAGCTTATGGTGGCTAATGTTAGCTAGTTTAAGGACTTTCTCTCTTCTTGTATTACTGTTTGCGCTACATTGTAGCATTTATTAGCATTATCTTTTAATTAAAACTTGTGGCCAGCAGTGGTCGCTCTTCAACTTTTGTTACATATATATAGATGGCTTTGTTAGCATTGGACAACCTGCACCTTTACCCTTTATTTTATTGTTAGTTGATAAAAATTTAACATTAATGTAATAATGTGTTAATTATGTTAGTGGGCACATATGATATCGTCTCATATCCACTGCAGGCCCCTGAATGGCAGACTTTACACCTCTACCGAGCAGGAAGCAGATATATAAGTGGGACATTGAAGGCATCATGGAGAATATGGTGTGTTAACTCTCTTCAAAGGTTGTCTGTTTGGTTTCAAAATCAAAATGTCGTCATGGCAGCAGCACACCTCTCTAAAGGCAACTAAATACATCAGCTCTTCAAGTACTGAATTAAGTACAACTTTGAGGTACTTGTACTTTACCTGACTATTTCCCTTTTATGCCATTTTAAATCTCCATTAGTTTTCAAAGGAAAATATAAAAATATATTTTGCTTATAAAACATTTAAGTAACATTTTGAACTTCTTGAATACAGGACTTTCTAACCGACAGTAAAAGATCCGACTATTTCTTCCATCGTAGTTTAAACGTTTATCCAAAAGTTATCTGGCTGCAGACCGGGCATGTTACAGCGTGATACCACGGTATCAGAACACGGCAGACTACTACTACAGACTACACGCTACTCGTGAAAGCAAAGGAATTTCTCTTTCCCTTTCTTAGTAGGGTCAGAGTTCAGCTACAAAGCACTGGAGCTGGTGAGGTGTCGGGTTTCTTTTGCTCAAGGGCACATAGATCAGATAAAAGTTGCTTGAGGCGTTTGAACCCAGTTAGTCCAGTTTTTTCTAAATCCCTGCATCTTCCTGTTGCCCCACATGATGCATCGCAGGGAAAGTTAAATGAACCAAGTGCTTTGTTTTGGACTTCTTGTGTTGTTTGTTATTTGATAAACTGTACAAGAGGTAGAAACCTGCTGCAGTCTCGTACACATCAGTGACGTGGCGTTTTGATTCACGCTCATTCAGTATCACCGAGGAACAGAAACGCAGCATGTGACCTCTCTATCAGATCAATAGATCTGAAACTGTAACACAAACACACAATGGGGAATATACGTTATCGCATCAAAGCAGAACCAACAGTAGTTCTGTCTGTTGTAGGACAATACGATGGGGAAGCAGCACCTGCGGCTACTTCCTGCTTGCTGTCAGGTGAAAAATACCTCAAACACCGCCGCCCACCTCTCACTTCACTGCCTCTTCACATGGGGAGCGTTTGTCCGACAACACTGTGCGTGTGTGTGTGTGTGTGTGTGTGTGTTTGAGGGAAGGTTTTTGAAAGTAGAACACTGACTCAGTACCATATTATAAAAAGTGTGCGTGGGTGTAGATGCATGTATCTCACCTTGTCTAATCGTGTCTCAAGTTCACTCACATCGTTTTGGACGACCTCGATTTCAGCTCTGAAACACACAAATAACACAAAGTCATAAACAAGTAAAACAAAATCACTATAGATTTACTTAAAATGACACACAATAACCTGCTGTGCTAATATTCATGTTAGGGAGAGAAATCAGTGCCAACATTTAGTCAATCTGACAAAAGTATCCAGATGATTAGTTAATTAATTGAATGTTGATTAATCGATTAAAATCAACAGAAACTGTATTGACAGAAATGTTAAGTGATGGATTAATTGTTGTTTATTACATTCACAGGTTACAAGTTCCTCAAATGTTCACTTGTTGTCACTGTAAATCTAATATTTTTGGATTATTTAAAAACTCTTTTCTGAGATTTTAGACCTTAACTTAAATATTCCTCATTCCTTTGGTTTGAATGCTGTGTATTTTAATTTATAGCTAATAATGTAACATAATGATATCTTTACTTCTGCCACTTAGGAAACACTTGTGGGATTGTCTGTCAGCAGGACTGTGGAAAAACTACGTGCCTAGTTTTAATGAATACATGGTGGGTGTAGAATGGGTCAACGTAGAGCCGATCTGAATCATGGGGCGGATGCACAAAGTATTTTTCACTTTCCTACGGCAAAAATAACTTAATTCGTCGCCCATGCACAAACCTGTCGTGATGAAAGTGAATGGTGTCCTGTGACTAAATGTACAACACAACGTAACAGCCACATCAAACATCACCGTAGAAACAAACGCAGCAGGAATGTAAGAAATAAGCAATCAGGGATGGGATTTTCCTGGATTAATACTGGATTTTCTGACCTGCTCTTCACAATTAATTGTGCTCTCCGATCGCCTTTCTAGTCACAAACTGTGATATTCTCTTTTCGTTATTTGAACTAAGGGCTTACAAACTTCCCCAGTTACTTAAAAAAATGTACGCTTATATTCCTTTTTTTAGAGTAACTATGTAACACTCGTTAAGGAACAGATGGAAAAAAAGCCCTTAAGCTAACTTTTGCACATTTACAGCCACATTTATTAATGTGCATCGTCCCTAAATAAATAAATAAAGCAACCAATAGATTGAAAATACAATCAGCAGATCAAAAACAACACAGTGTAATTAAGAAGAATACACACAAGTAAAGTTGAAAATGGTTTTTTACACTTTATTTTAGAATTTTGTTGCATATTTCTGGTCGTCAGGGTTCAAATAATGCCTCCACCTCAACTTTAATGTTCATATGTTAACTTTTCATTTACCCCTCAAACTTTCAAATACATACACAAACAACACCGTATATTATGTTGTTTTATTGCCTCAGTGAAGCCTTCATGGCTGCATCGTCACATGAAGTGGAAAATCCCTGTGCATCTTTCTGTACTATAATTCTGGTATTTTTTTGAAATGTTTAAAAAAAGCATTTTTGAACAGAGTCCAGGTGTACACTGGGGACAAGAGCCGGCCTTCCCATCTCTCACAAATATGCACAAAAGCGCCTTTAGAGGTCCTGTGCGTGGCTAGTATGTTGGGTTATTGGCCTAACAGTCAGTATCTCTCTCTGCCTCTTGTGTCTTCTCATACCAACAGCTCAACCATGTGGTTTCCGCTGCCTTCCACCAACAGTACAGAGATACAGACGGAGACAGAGGAAGAAAAAAAAAAAAAAGACAAGAGAGAGAGGCGAGACTGAGAGGAGGGCCCCGGTCAGACAGTAACTGTTTGTGTTTTCTGTGTTTGCTTGTGTGGGGATGTTTAAATCAAAGTCTGAGGTCATGTCCTCTTGAAATACGACCAAATGACAAGTCAGCTAAGGAGAGAAGGAAAGAAAAGTTTGAAAAAAAAAAAAAAAGGAACAGGAGGCCAAGGGGGGAGGGAGATTAAGAGATTCCTCAGTTTAAAGAGGCACAACACTTTTGACTTCTGTCTGAATTAGTGTCACATTTTCTGAGTTCGTTAGAGTCAGAAAGCAAATTAAAGACTGAGCTAAAGATGAGTTTCCGCCGTGGTTCTCCCCACAGAAAACACACTTCCTGTCTCTCCTGTTGATCACCTCGACACATCTCGCCTCACTTCCTGTTGCCCTCCCACCTCACCGTTACCTAGCAACAGGAGGCAGCAGGCTGTCCTGAGCTGTCAGTGCAGTTGTCTTTTTTTTTTTTTAAACTCTCTCTCTCTCTCTGCTTTATCTGTTTGATTGACTGTGTCTATTATATGCGTGATAACTCGAGCCTCCATTCCTTTTCCTTCCCTTTCCCCCTCGTTCCTTCCTCTGCTCTCAGCCTGACACGAGACCTCACCGCTGCAGCTGCCACAGCTCAAACTTTCCACCACTGTGCAAGCCTCATAAATTCAATATGGGCAACAGAAAAAAGGGGGGGAAAAAGGGAGGCTGAGGTTCAGGATTGAAATATGCCAAATCAGCTGAGACGACACCAGCCACTGTGACTCAGGCAGGATGCCAAAAAACCATCAGAGCAGGGCACACCCAAGTTCTGCCAAACTCTCTCTTGAGCTGCTTGCAAAACCAATTTAGCGACACTTCCCTTTTGATTACACCAGATGCTGGCGCTGTGTTGAAAGACAATTGATTGAGGACTCTTGTCTGACATGCAGAAGAGCTACACTGAGCTACTTTAGAGGCTTTTTAATGAGGGGTTTTTAAAGGCTTAAAATGAGCTAGTAAGTAGGTCTTGGCGTGTGTTAATACATCTCAGAAAAGGGGGCAGAATAAGAAGAGAAGGATGCTAATATAAGCTTCCGGGGGTTCAATGACACATCAAAATGCAGCCCAGAGCAGCAACATCAGACCTCAGATGAGTGTTTTCAGCCCTGCAGGCCTCCTTCCCTTTATTGACCCCAACACTTGCAGTGACATGACATGGTTTGACCTCAGACTGCTGGTTGTTGGCATTTCAAATGAACTCATTAAGAAACATTAAATGCATTAAAATGAGCTTTTTTTGACCACTAATATGAGAATATTGTTTTTTGATCAGTATAATGAGGTTTATTCACTTTTTTCTAGTCCAATTTTAACACATTTTTGGTGTTTTGCAGGTGGGCCTCAGCCCAGCCTCTTTTTTATTTTATTTTTTTTACATGATCAGGACCAAAGCACAGGTGAAACTCTTACCTGAAGCGCGGAGAGTCTTTCAAACACTCCTCAAAGTCCAGCTTGACTGTCATCCCTCCGTCTTGTTTGCAGATCACACAAAACTACAACAACACTGTTATTATTTGAATCCTCTCGGCGGCTGGAAACAAAAAGCAGCCTGGCAATAAGAACAAAAATAAAAACGAAATCTCGGGTTTTTAACGCTCCACACCGGCAGCTCGACTCATTCTTCTTGTCGGACGTTTTTTTTTTTTTCTGTCTTTCACAAGTAGAATTTGTATTCCTCCGGCGAGCTCGTCCTGTTCACTTCTCCCCTGCGCTGAAGGGAGACCGTGTGCCGCCTGAAACCTCCTCCGACGCGCATCCGAGCCAAAAAAGACGACTTGTCACCACTTATGAATGAACGCAGGGGGATGTTAGTCGCCTTATTACCATTTTATCCGGGTTTTTTAAGAGCGCGCCTGAGGAGAGGATGCTGCAGAAATAATATAGACGGACGTGAAGTTCCCTCTTGGATAAAGTAGTCCCTTATCGCTCAGTGCGGATCGATATTCCCAATTGAATAAGAGCAAATCAGATGGCAGCCGGTGGATTGGATGTTTCTTCCCAAGGGTGCCGACTGGAGTACTCTCTCTCTCTCTCTCTACACACACACACACACACACACACACGAGGTCCAACCCCCATCTCACTATTTCCGGGTTTCTTACTCATGGCAAATTGTGGTTTTGAAGTAGGAAACTGTACAAAATGAGAGGTTAGACTCTCAAAAAAAATAAAGTCCCTAATATATTTGAGACTTCTTCTCCTCTGCTTCGTTTTATCATGTGAACATATGGAGGTAATCAGCTATAATCCAACTACAGTACAGGAGGGCCATGTGGAGGTTTTCTCCCCCTCATTTGGTTTCCCCAGTTCGACTTTTCAGTTTCAGTGAAGTGCACTTGCAGAGAGACTGGGTGTGTATACTTGTCTGACAACCTTGTCTCTTGTTGCTTTTGTTGAGGTGTGAAGAAGGCTGCCTTTATAAGCCTCCCTCTGCCTGTGAGCACATTTTCATATGGAAGTCCACTCCTGCCAAAACAAAGAAAACAGGTTAAAAATAACTCATGGTAGGTCAAAGTTATGAGAGTGTGATTCAAAAGTAGTATGTAAGTATGTTAAAATTCAAAATACTAAGTGAAAATGATGCCGTCTGAGATATTAAATCAGTTATGAGTTAGTATGTACAGGTAATGAGATAGAAAGTCAAAGCTAAGACTTACTAAGTCATATATGAGATATTAAAACCCTGTTGGAGCAGATAGTCGCAGCCTGGCAAGAAAAATCCTGAATCCTCTTGGTTTTAATGTTCCACACTGGCAGCTCCACTCTTGTTGGATGTTTAATTTGTGTTCCTCCCACAGCTCTTGCTAAGTCAAAAATATGAGATGCTAAGACCTCTTTAGAGCTGGAAGCAGCCGGGCATGAAAAACATCTAAATATATATGAGAGAATATGCAACACTGGTCGCAACCATGCATTGACTTAGTATGAATACCTTTATTTGATGAGTAGGTATGGGGTTGCTTGTTTTTCTGGCAGAAAAGGGACTTCCCTAATTCACAGATCTTCCAAAAAGACAAAACACCTCAACGTCTTGGGCAACATTAAATAACCTATCTGCACTTTGTCATCATCACCACCACAACAGGCTGCTGCAGTCAGACACTAAAGCCTGTGGTTGACTGCTGAGCAGGGAAGTGTAATTACAGCGTCTCATCTGGCTCGTCTGCTCTGTGTTGTAATACACAAACATAACAAATATCTATCTATCTATCTATCTATCATTATCTATCTATCTATCTGTCTATCTAGCTCATGGTGTGTGTGGCCCCCCCTGCTGATCCCAAACAGTCACTGCAGGGTCCGAAGAGCTCATCTGAAAACAATCTGTTTTGTTGCTTTTCTTCTTTCACTTTGGTTCATGTTGCAGATTTGTTCCCCCCACCACCACCACTGTGAGTCTATCTATCCGAGGATCTCAGCTCCGTGATGCGTTCACTGACCACCGATAACAGAGTGTTTCTGTCTCTGTGCCAGTGAGTGAAAATCTCACACATATCTTCACAGACGTCAGAGAAAAGGGCGTAGTTGGGTCTGTTGTGTTGCTAAGTTGCTTCATCAAAATAAATAGCACGGGGATGACAAACAAGCTTTGTGGTAATAACCAATATTTAAAATGATGCCGTTCACCGTGGGAATGTTTGTATGATGGGCAAGAAAAACTGGTTTAAAAAGAAAGAGAAACAAACTGTAGATCCGTTTATGTAATGTACGGCAGGACTCAGTTAACTTTGTATAAACTTTACCCATATGTATTCACCAAAAGAGCTTCACTGTGTCTTCCCTTTGCCCAGCTGTTCTTATCTGAGCTCCCTTTAAAATAATCTGTCCTCTTTCCAGAGCGCGCCGGAGCGTCAGGAGCGCAGCGCGCCGCCAAAAAACGGGGGCGTGTGCGTAAATGGCGCACACGAGGGGCGCAGAAGAGTCTGACACTCAGGGCAGACTGTCGGTTCTGAAGGGTCGTAAAACATTTAGGGTGTTTTTTTGTGTTGTTTTTGGTTTGTTTTTCTTGTTTAACTTGGCTGCTCGACAGGTTCGTATTTGTGTCTGACAGGAGATTCCCTTCGCATCTGTCCAAGAGTCAAACCACACAGAGTTACAGGTATCACAGGGTTTTCAAAATAAAGGCTCAGCTGGTATTAAAACACTAGTAGGCTGTTTGAAAACAATGAATATAGGCTTGTATTTGGCCAAAATACAAATATTGCACCTTTTTTCCCCCAAAGTGATATTTGACAGCTCATCCATTACAGCTTTGTTAGAGGTACAGAAAATAAAAATGAGCTGAATATCAACTGTATCCCACTCATTAAAATACTCAAGGGTCCGGGGCCCCGATTATCCCTTTGATTACTTTAATATGCACCATATAAGCCAGTGGTTCACAACTGTTTTCCCCTTGTCTATCATTTATGAACTGATGACCCCTGACTAAGTGACATATATTTTATGGATATTTCACATTATAATCAAAACTATACGATTAACCCAAACAGTGAACTCAGTAACTGCAAGAAACGTGTTAAATGAGTGATTTGGATGAATATTCAGCTGATTATTTCCTGTTTTGGGGAATTTTATATACAATTCTCTGTCTTTATTATGCTTTTTAATTATTTTTATCAGTCATGCAAACTTACTAAGCTTCTTTTTGACATATTCAGTGTTTTCTTGTCTCTGACACTTGACCATTGCTCTATTATTCACTTTACATTCACATTTCTTCACAGACTCGAACCAAATACTGATACTGTGGCCTATTGCGTATATTTTCATGTCGTTTTCTTACATGCTTTAAAATCAAGAAGGCCTTACGACCCCCCTGTGAAGCTTCACCAGCCCCTAGTAGGGGTCCCAAACCCCAGGTTGGGAACCACTGATGTAAGCAGACTATAGTATCAGCTCCAATAAGTATCAGAACTAGATTTTATGGCTCGCTCTGGTGACTCAGGGGTTAAAGCACTCACCATAAAACCTCAACATCCTTGGTTCATGTCCGGACAACAACCTCATCTCATCCCCCATCTCTTCCTCCCCTTACTTCCTCCCCTCACTTCCTGTCGTTTCTTCTCTGTCAACTGTCAAATAAAAGCATTAAAGACTAGATTTTAATGAATCAAATGCCCTCAGGGTCATTAATCATAAACAGGCCTTTTTTTAATAAACAAACAAATGAACAGAAGAGTCACAAGATAAGATTTTTGTGGCGCTTTCGACTGTATCACATGATCTTCCTCAACAGATGACAATTCAGTGTCAACTTTTAAGCCAAAATGGAAATTTACATCTCCATGACAACCGGGCAAAAAACTCCATCTGCCATTAATCATCATGTGATTGGACCAAAAAACTCCAAAAAACCAGTTGCTAAAGCCACAAGTGGACCTTGTAGCGTTGTGTCATCTGCAGGGTCAACAGTACATTTGAAATCTTTATAAAATAATATCAATCCTTCTTTTCTCAGCGTCTTTATGTCAAAGCACTCTGAAAACAGCTGAATCACAGAATACACAGAGATAGAGAGAGATACTGGAAAATACCTTGACCTACTAACAGTTTGATGAGGTAACCAGTGGCTATACTGGAGCACATTTTTTAAAGAAACAGGGCCACCTGAAAATTAAACTCCCCGTTATCTGAAGCGTCACCTGTTATTCGCTCTTACTTTGAAGGAGAATCTGTAGTGTTTCCGGTGCACCTGCGGCTCTCTCTGTGCGACTTGACTCTCTCCTCCCGTACAGTCTCGCATTGAGGGCTTGAAGCCGCATAAACGCCGTTTTTTTTTCACAATGCGGGCGTGAGGAGCCTCCATGTAGTTCAAAGAAAAACGGAGGGGCTTTGAGGAGGGAGGGTCACCGGCTTCACAACCGAGCCTGTGCGCCAGGCACCGGGAGGAATAAAATGTCGAACCGAAAGCACCGGGACAACCAGGAGATCTGCGCCCGCAAGGTCCGTGAGCTGGCCCAGTCTGGAGTAAACAAACACTGCTTCGAGTGCAACCAGCCCGGGGTGACTTACACCGACATCACGGTGGGCAGCTTCGTCTGCACGTCGTGCTCCGGAATGCTGTGAGTTTAATAACAATCATAATATTAAAAATAACCCGCCGCGCCTCCCTCCCGGTGGTTGTCTATTCCCTGCACATTTCAGCATCAGTGTGGAGGACAAAAACACATAGTGACAGAGCCAGCGGAGTGAGTGCCAGGCCTGAGATTGCACCACGCACCACCCAGAGCCCGGATTTATTTCACTGGGTTATTTCTTATGGGGTTTTATTTAGTTATCTCTTTGATTTTGGTGGCGGTGCAACAGTCAGCCGGGGGGCGGGGGTCGGTATGGGTCGGTTAGGGGTGCGAAGGGAGGGAGGAGGGCTGTGTGCACAAATAACTTTACGAAGTGTCCACCTCTCTCATTTCCTCTCCGTGCGTTCTTCCAACAGCGTTCATCAAACGACAGACCGCTAGTTTGCGTCTTTGCCAGCTCCTGAGTTACGGGTCAGTTGTCATGGTGCCAGGTTCTGGACACTCACTCTCTCTCTCTCTCTCGTCCTCTCTCTTTCTCTCTCTCTCTCTCTCTTTAGGCTCTCTCCAGCTGTGGCGCGCCTGGTCGTGGCTTGTGTGTGTGTGCTGTCACATTTAGTTCTGCATGTTCAGTCTAGTCCCAACACTCCTCAGAAAGACGGTTTCAGCACTTTATTGCGCAATCTTGCACATGTGCAGCAGTGTCCCACTTTGTGCCCCCCCCCACCAAACAACCCCCCCCTGCATGAAGAAATAAGAGGTTCTGGTTACTGAAAACAAACGTTTCCTCTGTCACAAAGGTGTCGGTATGAGTATGTGTGTGTGAGTGTGTGTGTGTGTGTGTGTGTGGAGCGCCTATCTTACACCAGTCCTGTCCTTAAATTCACAGTCACGTGTCAGATTTCCTCTCCCACCTGCTCTGTCCACCTTTGTCCCGTCTCAGAGGAGGAATGGAAACCCACACAGTCTTTCCTTTCTTCTTCTTTTTCTTATTTTCTGCCTTATTTACCATCAAATCCCCTCTCTCCATCTCTCCTCTGTGTCCCAGGAGAGGCCTCAACCCTCCCCACAGAGTCAAGTCTATCTCCATGACAACCTTCTCCCAACAGGAAGTGGAATTCCTCCAAAACCATGGCAACGAGGTGAGTTACGGTCACCTGTAGTTCACTTTTTAGTGACAAAAAAAAAAGGCATTTAAATATGTTTTTTCCTTGCATTATCACTTGTAACGTCACCCGAGGAGCAGCGGCTCGTTGGTCCGCGTTGTTCCGGGTCAAGTTCAGGTTTTAAACTCCCCCTCTGGTTCTGATACGGACTATAAAACGTCCCTCGTGGCTACCAGTGGAACCAGTCTTTGTGGTCGAGGTTTTTTTGGGAAGAATGCTGCTGCCCAGCTCACACGGTGCCAAGAAAGAAAAGAGCCAGCACTGTCTGTCCCACCCAAACCACCATCTATTTCCTCTGTACGTATGTGTGTGTGTGTGTGTGTGAAGGCCAGTGGTTCCCAAGTTCTTTAAAACCAGGACACCTTCATAACTGCATAATGGACCCACTCAGTACACATCAGAGCTCTTCAAAATAATGTAATAGATCCTCATCAAACATGTTTTATGTGTGTTTACATTAAAAAAAGGTCATTTTTATTGTCAATTAATCCCCCAATTATTTTGTCCATTAATAGTTTGATTTATGAAATGTTTACAAAGTTCAGGGTAACGTCTTCGTCTAAAACCCCCAAATTATTCAGTTCACCGTCACATGCGGTAAAGAGTGGAATCAATAAATGTTTAGTATTTTTATTACCTAAACAAATAATCGATTATCAAAATAGTTACAGAATTATTTTGTGAATAAAATATCAATATTGGCCTCAAAAACAAGACTACCACTTGTGTTACTATGACGACGACAACCCTGAGACCTTGAAGAGGGTTTTTAAATGTTTTTTTTTTTTTTTACGTTTATAGCTTATTTCTCCCATTTTTGTCATGTTTGTAAACATAAATATAAACATGTAGTTAATGTAAATGACAACATGTTTTTTTTTCTTCTAATATTTGGTGAAACTTTATTAAAAATGCTCAATAACAGCACCCGTTTTGGGAACCACTGGTGTGGGCAGAACTCACACGGATAAAGAGCGAAGTGTTTCAGGCTATCAAGATGAGTGCCGACCATTTTTATCAGCTCGCTGTGGGCCGGGATATGTGTGTGTGTGTGTGTACCATCCAGCTTTTTCTCCACATCATCCTCTGAATAGTGATCTGGCCAGTCATGATTCATGGGCAGTAATATTTGCAGCACTCTGACTCTTCCACCGGACGTGAATCACTGATGAGAAAATCTGTTTGTGACTAAAAGACCGGCCAAATTGTCACAAATTTGAATTGTTATCCGACATTATGTGTGTGTTCAGGTCGGCAGGAGGACTTGGCTGTGTGTGTTTGACCCAAAGACGGACGGTTGCTCCGACATGAAAGATTCTCAGAAGTTCAAAGAGTTCCTACAGGACAAATACGAGAAGAAAAAGTGGTGAGAAGTTTGGTTTCAT